TCGAGTCCTGGACCTGGTGGCTTAAAACTCATGCTGGGTGTGTATGCATGTGTGCCCAAGATCCTGAGGGGAGAATGGAAGAGAAGGGATTGCAGTGTGGCCACCTCTCCTGTGGGGTGACTTGTCGCTTTCTCTCTCTCTCTCTGTCTCTCCAGCAAGCGCACATACCCTATAGCAAAAATCTCTCTGTCTAAAAACAAAACAAAAACAGAAACAAAAACAAACACAAAACAACAATGGAAAAACAAAACCCAAGTTGAAGAAAGAATCCAAAAAAGGTGAAAATATAATTCAATTAAATACAAATGAAACAATAGAGAAAACCAACAAAACCAAAAGTTGGTGTTGAAAGTCTAATTAAATTGATAACATCTAGCTAAACTGATCAAGAAAAACAAAACAAAACCATAGAACACACAAATTATAATATCATACATGGGGGGCAAGGACACCAGTACAGGTCATGCAGACATTTAAAAGATTATAGGAGACTATTCTGACAATATTACACCACTAAATGTTACATCTTTTTTCTCTTTTATTGCCAGAAGGTACACAAGCTTCCCAGAGAAAGACAAAGAGACAGAGGGAGAGGGAGGAAGAAAGCACCCCCCCAATGGGGTATGGTCACACCACAATCCCATTTTTCTGTCAGGATTTTGCACATGGATAAACATATATGCCTGGTATGTTTTTCAAGCTGCTGGGGCTGGGATTTGAACCACATTAATCACATGGGATTCAGCTCACTTAACCAGGAGGCTATGGAGCTAACCCCAAAATTTAACATCATAAGTGAAGTGGATAAATTCCTCAAAAAAATACCTTGTCAAAGAGACATAAAATATGTAGAAAACTAAAATGGCCCCTTTAGATTAAAGAAATTAAATTTCTAGTTAAAAATCTTTCCATGAAAAGAACTCCAGGCCCATATGGTTTCACTGGAGAATTTAAAGAAGAAAAATACCAATCCACAAACGTTTTCAGAAAATGTGTGTGAGGACATTCCTAACTTATGTAATGAGTTCAGCATAACTTTATCAGAAAATTATAGATTGACTTGTAGATCCAAATATCTATAACAGAATCTCAGTAACTAAAACCCAGCAATATTTTAAAAGGATAATATATCTTGACAAACTATTGTTTCAACACTCAAAACCAACCTATGGAGTTCAACACCTTAACAGAATGAAGAAGAAAAATCATATACCATCTCAACAAATGTAGAAAAAGCCAGTGAGAAAGTTAAAGACCAATCCATGATAAAAGCTCTCATCAAATTCAAACTAGAAGGGATTGTCTTTATTCTGATAAAAGACATTTATAGAAAGTCTATAGCTAAAATGCTATTAATGGTGTAAATTGTATATTATTGGAACAAAGGAAGGATGTCTGTCCTCTACAATTATATTTAATATTTTGCTGATAGTCCTTTTCAGTGCAATAGAGTAAGAGGGAAAAAATACAAAAAAAAATTCATACAAATAGTAAACTAAAATTGTCCCTATGTATAGTGACAAGATTTTTTACATGGCAAAGTAAATAAAACAAATAAACAAACATGCCCTTCTAGGATCAACATGTGAAGTGAGCAAGACTACTATGTACAGCAGGGTCAATGTATGTCCTGACATCGGAAAAAGAAATTTTAAAAAATGCCATGTATGGTACCAGAAGATAAAATTGCTAAGAATAAAGAGAATGAAGGAAATGCAGTATCTCTACAGGAAAATTTATTAAGCCTTCTTGAGAGAAATTAAAAAACTTAAATAAATGAAAAGTTGTATCATGTTCTTTGATTTTTTTTTTTTTTTTGCGAGGTTTTTGTTGTAGGGTGCACGCATTCACCAGAAAGACAGAGAGAGACAGAGAGACAGAAAGCGAGAAATCACTCCCCAGGGGCGATGGCCACGCCGCAATCCCTTCTCCTCTATTCTCTCGGGATCTTGGGCACGCACGCAAACGTGCCTGGCGTGAGTTTAAGCCACCAGGTCCAGGACTCAAACCGCGGTCGACTACATGGAAGTCCAGCGAAATAGCCATTACACCAACTGCTGGTCCCATGTTCTTTGATTTTCAAACTTAATATTGCTAAGATGTCAATTCTCCCCAAGTTGATCTGTAGATTCAATACTGGTTCAGTCAACCCCAGAAGGCTATTCTGTATGAATTAACAAGGTGATTCTAAAATGTATCTAGGAATGTGAAGGACACAGAAAAATAGGAATTAATCTTGTGAAAGAAGAACTAAGTTGGAAAAGTCCTACTACTTTATTTCAAAGTTAATATGAAGTTGCAATATCAAGTCCATATTGAATTGCTGTATCAATGAAACAGGTCAGAGAGGCCATACATGAATAGACAACTGATTTTTGGCAAAGATGACAAGGCAATTCAATGGCGGAATTGATAGCACCACAAATGGTGCTTGAATCATTTATTTGTGTGGGAAAAAAATGAGCTCATGCCTTTAACTTAAACTACAAACAAAAATCAACTTGACATGCATCATATGTAAAAAGGTAAAAGTTACAACTATGAAACTACTGGAAGAAAACATAAGAATGTCTGTGTGACCTTGGGATAGACAAAGATTAGACAGGACACAGAAAGCACTAATCATAAATGCAAAAATAAACAGACATTGAAAAATTGGCATTCATAAAAACTAAAGACTGCTTTTAAAAGACAACATTAAGAAAATGAAGAGACAAATCATGGATTGGGAGAAGATATTCATTCTATATACATATGACAAGAGACTTGTTTCCAAAATGTATGTATTCTTGCAATTCGCTAAGAACAAAAGAAATAGTTTAGGGGAAAAAAATGGATAAAGAATTTGAACAGTTTACAAAGAATATGTATTTGAATAACTAATAAACACATAAAAATAATCTATACAATAATCATCAGGGGAATGCAATTGAAACTACGATTTATATCCACTAGAAGGGTTGCCATTTAAAAGACGGATAATCCTTAGTTGTCAGGATGTGAAGCAATTTGAACTCATACTTTACGGTAGCAGAAAATGATATTGCTATTTTGCAAAATTCAGCGGCAATTTGTTAGGAAGTTAAGCACACACCTACCTTAAAACCCAGAAAACTCACTTCTAGGTATTTATCCAAAGGAAATAAAAACACATACCCTCAAAAATGTTTATACAAGAATGTTTGTACTGGCTTTATTTAAAATAGCAAAAACTTGGGACTGGACCCATGGCCTAATAGTTAAGGGAACTGGATTGTTCTAGCTGGCTGACTGCAGTTCAAATACCAGCTCTGGAGGCTCGGAAAACATGCTGGCCATGTATGCATGTGTGCAAAAATCCATACAGGATGGATATATGGAAGAAAAGCAATTGTGACATGATGATGCTACATTGGGGGGTGATTTCTCCCTCTACCTCTCTCTGTCTCTGTCTTTGCCTTGTTTTAGTGGGTACACATGCCCTTTGGCTTAAAAAAAAGGACAAAAAAACTGGAAACAATCCAGATACAATCCACAAGCAAATGGATAAATATACTGTGGTATATTCATATAATGGAATGTTATTCAATAACAACAATAAGAGCAACAACAAACAATAAATCTTGGTGTCTTGGTCCATTATTGCATTTCTAACAGAAATACCTGAGACTGGATGAATTTATAAAGAAATAGAGGTTTATTCAGCTCACAGCTTGGAGGTCCAAAGCCAAGGGGCAACTTCTGGTGAGATTACAACATGGAGGAGGGCAGGATCTGGAACAGAGCAACTGACTGACTGTGAGTTTCTCCTAGTTCTGGTCTGTACCCATGTGTCTCTGCTTCCCTCATTTCCTCTTCTTATAAACCCACCAGAACTCATTCAGGGAGGCCCCATCCTCATTACTTGATCACATAGCAAGGCCCCACCTAGGAAATCCAGCAGGGATCAAATTTACTTAACATATTCAAATATAATCAAGTCTCCACACATGAACTTTTGAGGGTCATCCAATCATTGCCTATTCAGACGACATTCCAAAGTGTAACTGTTTGGAGTGACAGACTATTATCCAAACCATGACACTTGGATACATACGATAGCATGAATAAATCTCAAAAATGGTAGGTTGCACAAAAGAAACCAAAAGAGTGCATACTGTATGACTCCATTTATTTAAAGTTCTAGAACAGGCAGAAGAAAGCATTTTTGGTAGAAATCAGGTCATTCATTGTCTGGGCTAGAGCTGAGGGATGAATATAAAGGGCCATGAAGGGTTTCTGGGGTGATGGAAATGCTCTATATCTTGATATGGTGGTATTCACTTGGTATACATTGGTCAAAACTCTTACACTGAAGCATCTACTTAGAACCTGCACTTTGTGTTGCATGCAAATTTTACTCCAATAAAGTTAGTTTTTAAAAAATTAAAAATCACCCGAACACTGTCGATGATGAGTTAGTCAAAAGTGTTAGCTTTTCCCTTTGAATGACTAAGACCCCTACCTCATCGCCATACACAAGTTAAACGAGCTGTGCTTGGACTGGATACAGTTGTAACAGGGAAGCCGGTTTCTCTCTCACTATGAAGCACTTAATGCTGGACAGAAAAACATGTGTTCTAGTCTTAAAACAAGCAAACAAAACACAAAATACACCTTCAAAAACTTCCTTTAATAACTTGTCAATAACAATTATCTCACCATGACAGGAAGTTCTACTTTAGGTCTAACTAGACCTCTCAGACTGAGTTGTACTGTTCTTCCTTTTCGTTCTTTGATTGGAACTTTTCAAGGTCGGGAAGGTGGCTTCTCTTCCAGCAGTGTGCAGCTGTCTTTCTGAGTAGTTTTAGGGTCGGGGTACTTTGTACTAATTCAGGAGCCTCTGGCCCCACTGCTCTAAAGGACTCCTTTGTGGCTCTGCCTGGTGATACTGCTGAGTTTTTTCTGGGATGTACTTGACCTTGGGGTACTCCCAGGTGCTTTGAATACACTGATATCACCTGCCTTTCCTCCCACCCCAGGAGATGCTGAAGGACGAGGTACGAACGCTCACCTACCGAAACTCCATGTACCACAATAAGCACGTGTTCAAGGACAAAGTGGTGCTGGACGTTGGGAGTGGCACCGGGATCCTTTCCATGTTTGCTGCGAAAGCAGGAGCCAAAAAAGTGTTTGGGGTGAGCATGCCGTTCCTTCCCACATCCTGGCCTCCATAGAAAGGACTCCTGGTCCTCAGCCTTCGTGGGCCCCTCCTAGGACACAAACCTTGGTCTGTCTTCTTTGCAGGGTCACCTTAGAGAAAGGCCGTTGTGACTCTCAGGAGGCAGGACAACCTGCCTGTCCCCTCGGCATCGTTCCTGGATCCCTGCCCTGCTGACTGCTATTTGCAGAGAGGCCATCTTTACATCACTGTGCAGTCACACTGCAGGCCAAGAGGCAGAGCCGGGGCACACAGTCGTGTGGTCTGGCTTGAATCTCTGCTCTTGCACTGGCTAGATGTGTCATCTCAGACACTTCCCTGTCCCTCAGTCGCTCCACCTGTAAAATGTGCATAATGACGCTGCACCCATGTGGTGATGGTGAGGACCAAGCTAGGTTAATCCTGTGTAAAGTGTTCATGGTGATGCCCAGCATGTGCCAGTGCTGCGTTCACAGTGAATTTGGCAGAGACGAGCCCTGGGCAGTGCCAGGGCCACCTTCCTTCTTCCTGTGAAGGGTGGGTCAGTAGATTGAAGTTTCACTGCTGTAGACTCCCCAGCCTAGGGGTAGGGCCGACTCCCAGGAAGCCTCCTGGCCTTTCCCTGGCCCTCACGACTCAGCTGTGCACAGCCTGATGCCAGAGGGGCTGGCAGTGTCCGGGGCTGGGATGAAAGTGGAGCTGTGAAAAGACGAGCTCTGAGCTGCTGGCTGGCTTGCAAATGCAGCGGGTCTAGGGCTGGAGAACTGGCATTGATCTTGCTTAAAAGGAAAAGCAATCTTCAGCTGGACTCCCCGTGTGCACGAGAGCCAGCCGGTGTGCAGAGTTCCAAGGGCCTTTGAGCAGATTCCGTGGGCCTCTGTTCTCTGCATGTAGCTGGGCTACACTGTGGTCTCCCCGGGGTACCCCTGGCTCCTGGGTCAACAAGACCCCTCTGAGTCCCCTTGGGCCATCCTCAAGGTGCCTTGGGTATAGTCCTGGCCAGAAAAAGCGGTGACACTCCACTCAGCAAGCCAACCTGACATCAGGGGCACATGGCAAGGATGGGAACCTCGGGCAAGGGACGGACTCTGCCATCAGGGCCGCCACAGGGTGTCAGAGCTGGACTTGAGGCCAGCTGGCGGTCCTGGCCTGATGATGGCCTCGGTGGGGACATCTGAGCATGGGAAGGCAGTGCTGCCTGTCCCAGCTCATGGTACCCAGGGGCTCCAGCCCAAGAGCCGTCAGAGGCCCCACTCAGCACCTTCCAGCTGTGGGCACGTGGCTCAGGCTGTCTGCCGCCACCCCTGCTCCGGGGGAGCCTTCATTCGGGATGGCTCGTTCCTCAGTTTCCTGTTCCAGGCTCCCCCTCCACGCTCTGCTCTTCTCCAGAGAGGAGACGGGATGGCGGGGATGGGGATGTCACTGCAGAGAGAGAGAGAGAGAGAGAGAGAGAGAGAAGGAGAGAGAGGGAAGAAGAGAGAGGAGAGAGAAGGAGAGAGAGGGTGTGAGGGAAAGA